TCAATATACTGCTCCCCATACTGTAACATAAATAAAAACAAATATAATTCACTTTTTAACTTCCTAGGTAATTTATTTATAGCAAGTGGCAACTTCAACAGAATAAATTAACTATCAGAGAAGCAGGATTGAAAATCAAAGAGGTAAAACATTTTTTCAAACCATATTTGAAAATCACTATTCCGTTTTATTTCCTCCTAGTTCAACTTACTAGCCTACTAATTTAAATATACATCCCTATATACTAGAATATTTTGTAACTAGACTACCTAGGTAATAAAACACTTAACCAATAGAGCATATAGTATAATATGTGACCTTTCTAGTCAATATTCGTTTATTATAATAACTCTTGATAATAATCTCCGTTCAAATCATTAGACTTTCCCTAATAAACGGATTAATAAATTATACTAAGTTAAAAAACCACTTAGACAATACCATACATTTAAATATATTCTTAAAAATGCACAATGAAATGTAACACGCATCTATACTCTTGGTAAAAAAAAATTCAACAATCAGCAAAAATCAGTTCTTTCCCAATTACAAATCAACTTTCTAACATAAATAATGAATTAATTCCTAGCATTTAATAATTAATAGTGCTAAAGCGCAGAATCAGAGCACGTCGGCATCATTGTAGATATCTCAATGATAAACAACAACTTAAAAAAACAACTAATTTAATAAAAAATAAAATAAAACAAATATTCAAGTCAAAGCAATATCAATAATCATATCTTATTGACTTAAATCTACAAAATTGTTCACTGTGAAAGCAGCAAGCAACAAAAAAAATTAACCAAAATCAAGGGAAATATCCCTCCCCTTTGCTTAACTGACGGTGCATATAGTATAACAAACACAGAAAGCAAACAATTTCTTCAATCAATTCTATAAAATTTTTAAACCCCACCAATTAATCGTTAAAAATAGTGACTATCTCAATGATATTTATGAATTTTCGATAACCCCCTATCAATGTATCTACCCGCAAAGCTAATGTACTGAGTACAATTTTTTTCATGGCCCATCCGTTCAAATATGTACTTACACAAAATAAAACATCGCGATACATAGATTGGATCGACATACTGAATAATTCCAAATTATTATATTACTGTTTCTGCGTATATAAATATGATATAACTACATTTTAAAATTGGTGTTTAGTGCTATTAAGCTTATTTTTCGTTCAACACGGGATTTAATACAATTATTTTTTTTATCTTTTATGTACTTTATTATATTATAATGTATTCGTTTTAACAAATATTAGATACGAAGTCACTTAATCATCTATACTTAGTTAATGCGTTATTTACATTTATTCATATAATTACATGTAATGTGCTTAATAATTAATTATTTACTAATATATACATATAATGCATTCATTGGTTTATTTCAATATATCATGCGTATATATGAAAACATTGCTTATCAGTAAAAATAAGAATTAATAAACTTGTTTAGCCTAAATAATAATTTTAACTATAAATAAATTGTAAGCTTATGTTTGAAAAAAAAGACATTGAATTTAATAAATGTGAACATTTTGTTTATATAACCAATTAACGTATTATTATTATACCCTTCATATACTAAATATGGATAGATACTCGTTTCAGCTTTTATAATTAAATGTTGACTCAATTTTTGAACAAAAGTGTGAAAGCAATAAAATGTATATAAACTGTGTAAAAACTGAATGTAACTTATATATATATGTATATTATATAACCTATCTATTATTTATTTTCCGATTGAGGTTTTAAATAATCAATATTGGTTAGGCCTGTGGTATTATTTTGTATTCAGAAATACTTAAAGCTTTTTTTTAAATATAATTATTAAGAATAACTTGTTCTTTAGAAACAAAATATATTAAAATAGTTAACTACTCATATTTTATTTATTTTTCTATAGATGTATGAGTTCTATACATTTCTATATTGATTAATTATTATGTAGCCAAATAATTTTACAGAATAATAAATAATGATTCAAAAACAGCTATAATTTAAAAAATTATAATAATAATATAATGTACTTCAGACTTTTAAAAATGGATCTATATATATATAAATACAGATATATTAGTGAACTGCTATAAATTAGATTTGAAATTAATTAAAATTAAATTTAACAAAATATAAAACATTAGTTATTGCACACTTAAGTTAGATAAATGCAAAATACAAACTGACAAACCTTTTTTTCTGACCTAATCTATTCATGAAACATAGGGTATATTTTTTTTTATTTACCCTATTTTTAATTCTAATTTTGAAAAATAAATATTAGTTTTATAAAAATATACTTACTTCTAGTTGTAAATTTCAATTTATATATACTCTGTTAAACTATATTCTAACCTTCTAATCTTCTTATATTTTGTGATTAAAATTTTTGTAATTTAAATTTATTGTTTAAATATATATATCTTACTTTAAATAATATTTATAGTTTTCTATGTTTATAAATCACCATCAATACAAACTACAAAGTACATCAAATTCATTTGTTTGACAAAATTCAGATACTAGACTGTTATTAACGTTAACCAAGTACCAATTTTACAAAATAATTGTATTTAAAATTTAAATATAAGTTATGTATTCAAATAGGTACGTATATTATACAACATACCTAATAGTAATTTAATATCTTCTATTTAAATTGCGTATTAATTAGTGTAGTATTTTATATTTTTATAATAATAGAGACAAATTTCTGTTTAATTATACTTTAATTATTTAAATAATGTATACCAAAAAATATATATTGTTAGCATCAAAAACTGACAAAATATAGAGAAGCATAGAAGAAGATTATGGAAGCGACAATGGGCCTAAATGGTCTAGATTAAATTTAAAAAAAAAATACTAATGACATATTACATTCTATTATCTATGCATAATACATTAGTTTATCATAGAAATTTTCACGAGAATCGGGAGAAAATCGCTCTGAGAGGAGGTTTATTATGGATGTTGATCAAAAAACCGAAACTAACCGCGTGTGATGTACACTACCATGAATTGCATAAATGTTTGATAATATCACTATATCGGTATATGCACGTCCTCGTCTAATCTAATTATTTGACGTGGGCAATCAGTTGATCAAATTATCAGTTTAATATGAAAAAATTGCAATTCCTATCCCATTAGTAGAACAACTCAGATGAGCGTCGTTTGATCAGAACATAATTTTGTAAAATCTGCAGTCCAATTATATTATGATGTGTTTACACATTATTGAAAGTAGGTATTTACCTTAGCTTATTGATATAAATACATTCTGTTTGATATTAAATTAGAAATATTAAAAGAACGAGCACAAAACATTTTTCTCCGATAAATCGTATGTATTTGCTGTTTGCATTTTACTTAAAAGGGATACCTCCCGGCTACCACTATTACATTTATGTATACTTTGTAGTATTAGGCTATAAATATGTGTGTGTAAGTGTGTTTGTGTATTACGCAATGCATATAATATACAGTAGACATATTATGCTAACCATATGATGTTCATTAGCTTATTCGTGACGGCAGCGGTTTTATTCGACTCCCATGATAATACATACATAAAAAGTATATAATATATACCATATACATAATATATTTATAAAATAGTTTACTTATTACTTCTATGTGTTTTTTTTTCTACATAAAAATTGATGCAAAATAATATAGATCATAAATAATTATGTCGTATAAACGTATTTTGTACAGATTAAATACAATACGCTATTAATTATTAGTGTTATTACATTATTCCATTGTTAATAATCTGTGTAAAATACGTTCATATTTATTCGTCAAAAGCGCATAATATATTATAAATGCTATAATTTAGTAGATGGTCTTAAAAAATATCTTCATAAGCCATAATTATACATTTAAACAATTTTTTTTCTGATGTAAAAATATTTTATAAATAAATAATGAAGAAAATTGAATGGAAAGTTCTTTAGTACTGAAAAATATTTTTTAATATAATTGCGTTGGAGAAATAATTTTAATCAATAGTAGAAGGTATTTAAAACCTATTAGTCAGAAAATTCTTAATTACAGTGGAGCTCATGAACTAACACGCCCAGTCAAGACCATGTACCGTCATACAATTTACTAGATAGAGCAGTTGCACACGTAACCATACAACGAACCAAATAGCTGGTCGTAACGTTAATCGGTACTAAAGCGACCTTTTTCAAGACTTATACGATTTGTCTGATCCCGAATAGCTCGAATCTTGTACGGGTGTGCTACATCAAAGAACACCACTTATTTAAACTAAAAACTATTCGTGATACTAGAATGAAATATAGACACCCCGCCCATATTTAATGCTAGAGAATGCTGGACGTCACTTATTGTAAGATAAAATCACACCGCCATCGCCAGGCGGGAAATCTGAGGACTACTGTTTATATCAGTTCACATAATAAAGTCTCGTGGCAGCCGAGGTTGATCCTCCTTATTCCCAAAACTTGTACATAGTTTATAAATTTATACTCAAATTAATAAAAGAAACGTAATTACAATTAAGCAACTGAGTTGATATTAATGCTCGAAGCGATCCATTGACACGCAGTGTGACGTTTTAGTACCTATGTATTATAAATAATAATAAATTAACATAAACAAAATTATGTTATTTTATATACTTGTTTAATAATGTAAAAACCATCATAGTTTCAAAACATTTATTATTGAATTTACGTTTTATTAAAAAATATTATTTTTTTTTTTTAATTTAAAGTTACCCTCGGTAGTAGTGGCTTTAGGGAGTAAAAGTTATTAAAATTGTTACAAAACTTAAATTTGGTGTGGTTCAAATCAAAAATATACGTATAAAATATAAAAATGGAACCCAATACGCTACAAAAATTTATTTTAAATATTAAAGTGTAAAAAAAAAATTGAAACATCAATACATCATATAGATATTATGCGTTGTATATTTGATAGGTACCCATTATATATTTGACAGCGTAAATTAAAATATAATGATATATTATGTCAAGACAACTATTATTATAACATAAATTTAATCGTTAGTTTTGCTTTAAACATGGCAAATCTGAACAATATTTTTCCTGAATATAAGATGAGTGAATTTAATATTCAAAATTATTTAAAATTATTTAAATTCGTTAATTATAAGGATTATTTTCAGTTCCGTGCATTATTAATCTAAGTTTTTCTACTGATCCAGTTAACCCGGTGAATAAATTAGAAGTCTGAAAAATTAAAATTAAGTCATGTTTAAATTATATGTACATAATATGGTGATATTTATATATATAAACACATATTTAAGTGGTTTTAATATAAATGACCGGCTTAATCCTGTTCTTTACATGTTAAAAATAATGTATGACAATTAGTCATACAATTATTTTTTATTTTTTTACTGAATACTGACTACTGAAAATGCTATTATTTCTTATTAGATTGTTTTTCTTTTCATATTATTAAAACAATATTTACATATTGTAATAAACCATTATTTAATACTTATGAGTTGTGCCCAATTATAATATAACTTACATTTTTTTAATATAGGGTTATGGAAATAAAAATTTGAAAACGATTTAGCAATAATAATAAAAAAAAAAATAAATAAATAAATCACCTTTAAAAATATGAAGAAATTGATGTATAATTTATTGTTAAGCATTAAAATAGTACTTTAATTTTATGAAATTTTAAATTAAGTCTAAATTCATTACAAGATAATTTAGACATCAGAGTGTGATAATATTAATGAATTTTTTCTTTAGTGCGTTTCAAAATTAATTATAGTTTTTATGACACAATATCCAATACTTTAAAACTATTTATAGTAGAAATTAATTTAAAATATTTTTTAAACCCATACCTATTATCATGGTTTGTAAATATATATACTATCACTGTATCATTATTTTTATCATTTGACTCTAGTTTTATTTATTATTTATTATTATTATTCGTTTAGACTATGTTATAAACCACAGCTTTAATTACTTCATCTTTAACAAAAACTGTCCACTCTCCAGATGGGTCTTCGCCCCAAAATTGCAATGATTTTATTTTCCATCCAAAAAACCCCATGTTTGACTCATCTAAGGGCCGCGGCTCCATCATTTTACACGTGGTGTCTAGAAATATAACAATTTCGCATAATATCTATAGTATTATAAATGTTAATATGTGTACTAACTTTTTGGCGACTGTAGATCTATTTCTACCATACCACGTTTTGGATACTGAATGGTCACACATAGTTGTACGTGCTCTAAATATTTAATGCATTCGTTACATCCATTTGTAATTACGGTGGATACAAATTTTGCGGCTCGGCCAAAATGTTTACGATTTTTACTAAAGTTCATATTATTTCAAAATTTCAAATAACATAAACAGACATTCAACTTGATATAATATTATAAACTAGATATTGTAAATCTTAAATAATATTTATTCATTTTTTTAAAAGTAATTTTACTAATGCCATTAATAACACGACTAAAGTATATTAGTATATAATATACATATATATAATTTTTATTTAATGTAGATTGTGATTTAGAAAACATACTAATTTATTACTTTTATAATGTATAAAATAATCATACGGTATTTTATTAATTGCTAATTTCTTAATAAAGTAAATATTGAAAATTTAATTTAATTACCCTAAAACATACAGCTGATAAATCTATAAATGTATTTATTACAGTTAAAAATAACTATTTAATGTAAATTACAAGAGTAACTTATGTATATTAAAATAGAAGTTAAAATATTAATTTAACTATGGTATATGTAGTATACATTTTCCTAATATTGAAACTTATATCACATACTCTAAAAAGAAATATTCCAAGAGATTTATTATGACGTTTATACCTAAATGTCCACATAAATAAAATAATATTACAATAGGATACCGTTCATTACAACAGCGGCTACTCAAACACCAAGATAATTTAATTTACAAATATATGTATAACAAAAAACTTTGGATGCTATTTATTTGTTTATAATAACTGTTTTAAATACCTAAGTAAAATGCGTATTACTTCTTTATAGCTACGTAGTAGCTTATTAAATCAAAATTAAAATTATAGATAAATATTAAACAAATCATTTATTTATCTACATAAATGAAAAAAAATTTTGTATTTAAAATTATACATTATACTCGTAGTTCCAAATGCTGGTGTCAAAGTAAAAAGAAAAAAATAGATAATTATTTCATTATTTGTACTTAAAATAAATATACCTTGTCCCTAAGGTTATCTTCTAGTATAAATAAAAGTAGTACCATAATGATGTGTATTTCTAATTAAACGAATGTTGTATGACTTACGGGATACGAAAATTTACAGCACATATACTTTTTTCTGGTACGGTGCTCCAACTTATAGCTTCTTTGACCAACTTATAGGCGTTTAATAATCCAAAACCGAACTGAGGATTGAAATTAAATCCTGCTGCGTTAGTAGACCAACCAGAGTTTTTCAACAAAGGTCCAACTTCACAGTTCCTTACTAATAAATGTTGCACATCTCTCCACGTTAAATCACCACTATACTGGCCAACAATAAGAAAAAAAAAAATTATAAAATATGTGTCGTTTTTTGCTTAATTGGACTAACTCTTACAAGAATTAGACAAGCTATTTTAGAGATTATGTATTTTTTTTATTAGAAACTCAAACAATATTGAATTAAAAATAATAATACATTATAATACGTTACTTAGACAAACGACACACAGTAAATATATTACCTATATGTATTCAAAAGCAGCAAAATACTTTTACAGTTTAATATCGAAAAAAATTTTAATGAACCTAATTATATCTAAAATATTATAAGATATAGATTGCAAAAATCGAAAAATAAATTCCTATTTCCTATAGTGATTAAAAATATACAAATACTTACTGCATACACACAAATAGGTAAATCATAATGTTAAATATCATAATATTAAATCTAAACTAAAGTATTTTGGCCGAGTTAAAAATAGTTTGTTCTTTATGTTAAAATTTATTCCATTGAATATTTTATTAAAAACTAAATTATATTATTCAATTTTATTGAAAATGAAAAATTTAAATCTAATTAATTTGTATTTTTAATTAATTCTAAAACTTGTTTAATAAATACCCGCAAAAAAAATATTATTTTTTTTTTCTAAGCCATCAAATTAAAAATTAGAAAATTTAAATTCATAAATAAGAACATTTACTTGGCTTCGAGAGCTAAAGCTATAACTCCCGCTGCTAATGGAGCTGCAGCTGATGTGCCAGTATGTGAAAGTGTACATGTATTATTGATATCTGACGTAACCTAAAATATAAAAAACAAACAAACAAAACAATTTTAATTTACTACGGCTATTGACAATATGAAATTAATCAAATGTGTATAGCACATTAAACAATCATTTTGTATTTTTTTTCTTAATGTGTATACCTATTACAATTAAACAAAATAAATATAAATTTTTTTTTTTTGAAAATCACGCGACGTAATATGATAAATGTACCCGTTTAAAATATAGTAAAAATTGTATTATCACTGTTTTATATCAGAATTGACGATAAACAGTTAACACACAATAACATTATAATTAATAAGCTGGCAAAGAACTATACCAATATTAAATATATATACATCAACTAGTATAATTTTAATTTTTATGGATTTTTATCATTTGAAAGGTATAATTAAAATAGTTATGTAAATTGTACTTTTAATCATACATATATAGTTAAAAATATATGAAAAAAATGTCTAAAATATTTCGATATACAGTTTTATTTAATACCATTGACGTATAATAGCATAATATTTTGAATATACAAATGTTAAACTAATTAATTACTAATAGTAATAAAGGTTATTGTTTTAACAATATTATGTTATTAACGAAATATTGTTTTAATATATTTTTTTTTTATTTATTTGAAATATAGTAGAACAGTTTAAAAAAAAAAAAAAAAAACATCTTTTTGAAAACAGGCACAATGCAAATTTCTGTAAAACAATTTGAACATTTTCTGTTCAACTATTATAGAAACTATGTTTTATATTATATACAAAACTAATATTCATTCTTATTTTTCCATACATTAAAATTAGAATACGTCATATTGTATACAGTTATTAAATATCAAAGCATTAAAGAAAATTTATATGAAATTCATAATTAGTTTAAAGTTCGATCAATTTATATTTTTATACATTTTTTTAAGATTTTAACAAAATTATCAAATCTGTTTGATCATGAAACTTTCTATACCTAAAAGCATCTTATTATACAGCTCAGCCATTTTAAGTCCAATCAAAACCTTTCAATTTCTCTCACTTCGATAAAGTTCAACGTAATTTCTCAAATTCTATACTTTACTTAAACCATTTACTAATTCACATAATTAACTTCATTTAAGATCTTTGTTGGCTAATAGACAAACGTATTTATACTAATTTAAATTATTTCACTTAATTGTAGAATTATTAGATTATTCTTCTAACTGGCTTGTGCAAATCAAATTTTGAATTACCTCTCTTGAAACTTATACATGATCTGTTTCAAAATTAAATATACTAAGTAACGATCAGTTTTCACTTGGTGGTGTCCACCTTCACCTACTGTCTGACACAACGAATAATATATTATTATAATTTATATAATACAATGTGTTAGCGTTGACTTAAATTGGTATCATTGTAATAATTCGGCATATGCCCATCGGACATTTTCGGGCGTTTTTGGTAATCAAATTTATTGTTTTCCCACCGTGCTCGGTGCGCGATGATGACCTGTCGAGAGGGAAAATTGGGATCGGTGTTTTCACGACCGTCAATGACGTGCGTAGAACTGATATATAATTCTATTTTAAAACAAAAAATAGTTATCTCTCTATCTACACTCCAATAATTAAATAATCAGATGGCCACTTCGACGCATGAATGTATAATTCTAATAACTGAAGTTGACCTCCTAATTATTTTATAATAGATCTAGTAGAGTCCTAACAATCTAGTTATTTATTATTTATTAATCAGTTTATTTAAAAAATTATATATTATTTTTTAATATATTTCATTCATTATAAAGTTAAACATTTTCTATTTTACTAATACATTAATGCACTTTTATACTAAATATAATAATATGCTTTTAAAATATCCGTTAAAACATTCACTTCATTTATTATGTACAATACATCATATTTTTTTTTTATTCAATATACTATATTTTGATGTGTTTTGATTTAAAGCAAATTAATGCGAGAGGCTAAATATACAGGCTTAATGATTTGACTTATCTACCACGAAAAATGAACAAAAACAATCTCGATTTTCCCTCGATTTTCTCTTTGTTCGCAACCTTTTAAATTTAACCATCAACCTTCAGTATTATAATTTATATCATCTCTACAATTTATTATAGCATATACATAAGTGTAAGAAAAATTAAACAATTTTTCTTTCTTTTATTCATGAATAGAGAATTAAAAACGTTACGTTCATTAAAATATAACATAAATATGCTACAGATGTATTAATGTTTATTTTTCTATCGCTTTATTAAAATAATTAACGTATAATTTTAACGTATGGCACTGTTTTTCAATATGGCAGGTCACAGATATTTAAATGATAACATATGATTTAATTAATATCTCTTTTTATCGTAATCACATTCGAAATAATTTTTTCGATGTTTGGATTGTTTGGATATCTAATACATGTACCTCTACTAATATTTCTAGTTGGTTTCCGTGACAACACAGGTACACTTGCGTGTATGTACTGTGTAAGTGTAATACATTTATATAGTAATACATATTAATGGAAAACTATACCTGTGGTACTAACTCATCGCGTGTTTGATGTTTTAACCGTTATCACTTACAATTTTAATGCCATTATCTAGGCCACCAGAATAAGCAGTTGCTATGACGGCGGCGCATCTCTCAGCGTACTCAGGAGCTCTGCCGTCCATGGTAACACTACTAATAGCCACAGTGTGAATATTTCCCACGTAGCCATCCGATGCACAATTATCAAACAGCATACGGCCATTGCCCGACGCGAATACGTATATTGAACCTCTGCCGTTGCGACCCTAACATAAACAAAAACGATAGCACGTAAAGAATATTAGATCATATTGACAACATCACGATTTAATGTTGTCTAATTGAGTTATTATAGCGGATTAAAATATTACTGAACGAAATCCCGGAGAAAATAAAACCATGAAATACAGATTAAATTAAAGTTGATTGTATTAAATATTTTAATGTATTTTAGGAAGTAACAAAAATGTATAAATCCATTATAATTCTCGCAGCCAGACGTCACATAATTGAATTTTATTATAGTTTTAACTTATTTTTTTATAACCAAATACTGCCAATTCACTTCTATTATCAATTATCACTTAGCGCACCGTAAATATATTAAAATATTAAATATACTATAATACATACATTGTATTCATTAAATTATTAAATAAACATATTATACGCAAAAACGTACTCAGAATTTTCATGGCGGGGTATCAATTTGTTCTACTCCCTTTTCTTTCTTCCAATGAACAATTTAAATAAAAGCTAACTTTTGATAATAAAAATGCTTTTTATAGATGTTGGATTAAAAATTATTAAATAAAAATAACCACATTATATCATCAAGTATCACCTCAAGAACTCAGTACTTTACAGCTTGTCGTTTTACGGTCAGCCCATAGGTCAATAAAAAAAAAAAAGTTCTGTAAGATTAAAATAATAAGTTTGTTATAAAAATGATAGACAAAAAATTTTATTTCCATATAAGAAAGTAATAACCACTCCCCACAGCAATTTTTGAGCACACAAAAAATATTTGCTCAAACAATGAAATCACTTTAAATACTCAAACTAAATAAACATAAAACAATTTGTAGTGTGTATTTTTTTTTGTACGTGAAAACATTTTTTTACATTAAAAAAGTGCTTACATTTTTAACATTGATATTTGAGATTTGACTTTGATATAAAATTAAACATAGTTTATTCGTGTTTTTAAGAAGGAGTGGTAATAAAAAATGAAAAAAATCCCTGTACTTATTTCAAAGTAAAAAAGAAAAACTAAAAACTTATTACTATAAACAGAAATGTATTTTATAAAATTCCGACTTTTAACAAAATTAATATATTAGCTCAAAAATGAAAAACTATAGATAGGTACTTAAAAAATTTACCAAATATTTGTATTAACTTTTTATACCTGATGTAATTTTCAAAAAAAATTAATTCTTTTTGAGCTATTCATAGACATTTTAAAACCTTCAAGGTAGCAATTACATGCAACTAATTTTTTCAAGAAATCTTTTTCAAAAATAAACATTTTTTTTTATTACTCCTTTAAATGATTTCAGACACAAAAAAAATCACATTTCAAAACTAACACATTCAACCTTTCGCTCAGAATCTAAAATAAAAAAAAATGTTTAAGTACATACTGAGAGCAAGATAATAATTCATATTATACTATACATTTGTAAATCAATATAATCTAACCACAAATTGGTATTGAAAGTTTCTAGGATTTTTACTTTTAAGTTTGTTCAATATTAGCATAATGATATTTATTTATTTTTTTAATGGGTATTCAGTAAAATTCACATTTTTATTGTTTGTATTTTATTCGTATAGTTTCTTTTTAAATAACTAGAAAATTCGAAGAAAAAAAATGTAATACAATCCATTAATTATTTTAAAATTTTCTACAAAAATTATACTTTTTAATTATAATATATGAGAATATATTCTTCTTCTTTACTGTAAAAAACAATCAAAATGTATAAAATATGATAATTAGATGGCTAGTATGATTTATGGTATATAATAGAAAATAATAATAAACATTGAATAATAAAACTAATCTATTCCTCCGAACATAATTTAGAAAACAAAACTTGCTGAATATTTTTTCAACAAAACTTTTTATTCTTAATAGTATGGTGATTAATTGAAACTTCCATGCTTCGTAGCCTATATATATATATATACACAATTTTAAGTGTCTATATTAAAAAAAAAAAAAAACAGTCATTTAACGATTCATTGTTAACTCTGGAATAATTATTTTAAAGCACTGCACCTACTGCATATTTCTAATATATTTCTTACAATCTACCAACGGTTTCTAAAGTAACATCAAGCTCAGAGTCGTTTTTAAGATTTGATTATAATTATTTATACGTGTAATGCGATAGCATTTATCCGAGTAGATACTTTAACGAGCAAAATGTAACAAGGAGGTAGAAGTTTGAAAATACGAAACATATAATGAGCATGTACGCAAAGATCGGAAATCAAATGAAACTTAAGTAATAGAAAAACTATCTGAAATATATTTTATCACATGTGTATATGAATATATGACATAAATCCAAGCTCTATTAATAAATGATAATATGATATGATATAAACTTAACCCGCATGTGTATAATGCGTGCAACCCGTAGGCATCGTGATTATAAGGATGAACTTTTAAGCTCCAACGCTACTGTTTTAGAATAACTACTGATATACGATACGATGTAGGTATGATATAATATTTCGGCCATAAAAACAACTCGGCCAATCCCTACTATAGTCCCACGCACTTACGAAGTTACGAATGAGGCCTTTCCCCGGGGGAACACAAGTTTTTGGGTGGCCGCCAACAGTGCAGTACTATAATATTTAGGAATAGAACATAATAATATAACAGAGAGCCGATTTTTTGTGCATTAAAAATAAAAAATAAACTTATAATGTCATCGCATAGTGGTGCCGTGCCACGAATCACATAAATTCCAGTTATAGTATTTATATAATTATTTCTTGTATTATGATATACAGTGGTAATGCGATTAGTATTTTTTTTTTTTGTTGTTGTTTTCTTCTGTTAATCGATTATTCCAGCTGAAACCCACGATGATACCCTCGTTCGGAATCCAGATTAAGTAATGATTTCAGTAAAATCCACGTGTCGTGTATTAAACACATACAAAGCGTCACACGAGTATTATATTAGTATATACTAATTTAATATGTCGAATTAATGGAATTTATATTATCCTGACATCACTAACTTTCAATAGTAAATCTCAATAGGACACTTTGTTTAAACGAACATGCATGATGGTCTTTTAAAAATGTACCATACAGATTTCAAAAAATATATTACATTATACCTGTTTATTAAAAATCGTACACTAATCTATACTAATAAACACAAATACTTTTTGAAATGACGTAGTGAGAATAATTTAAAAGCAAAAAAATTAAATAAAAAGAAAAATACAGTATATAAAAATAATTCTGATACTAATAAAAATAAAAAATAAAATAAAATACTTCAAAGAAATATGAAAAAATCACTCTTTATGTAATAAAACATGAAAAACTAAAAAAAAACCTATGGACGTAAAATAAAATACTTGAAAAGAAATAGGCACATGAAAATGTATCGACATTGCCCTAAAAGTGTTATATTGAAATAATTATAAAGTTAATATATAAAAACATTATATCCAACATTTTATTAGACTGCAGAAAATTTTATAAATTTAAAATAAAATTTATTCATCGAAAATCAAAATACAAGTGTGCATACTATACTTGGATACAAACTATACAGTAACAATATACATATTATAATTTAAACATCAATACACTACATATTTTGTATAGGCGGTCAAGTTAGAATAATTTAGTTAATTATGGTTACTATCAGAATTAAAATAAAAATATAAAATACACATAGTATCATTCTATGTGGGCGGGTACAAATTCATCTGTGATTAATCATTCAACACATTATTTAGATAACTCAATTTAATATTTGTACTGTATTTTAGTTAATATTTGTGTTTTCGTACTTACATAAGTTACATATTTTTAAACATGACTACATTCATTCATTATTATGAATACATGAAAAATTATCAATATCATTCACACAATGATAATTATTTGTATATTAGTGATAGATGGAATATAATATTAACTAGTTTATACTCCAATAAAATTGTATATTTTTTGGGTACAATAATTTTTGCATATTATTTTATAAATTAAATACTGCTTTATGCTGTACTTATCATACTTGTATACAGGGGTGTCATTTAAGGTATTGCAGAGTATGCTTATGCACATTTTGTATTGAATTTTATTGAAAATTTACTAAAAAATGCCTAATTGCTTTAAAATATTTCTGTTTTATTTTAGAATTGAGATAAATAATAATTAGCTTATTTTTATCTGTATTTTTTGTGTTTTGTGAGTTAACAACCCAGTTTGAAATAATTTATTCCCAAAAATTATTAGCCGGCATTGTCGACCGTAAGTTATAAATTATAATAATGATCAAACAAAACTACATTATTATTATAGAATTTTGTTTCCGGAATAGTGTATAAAATTATAACTTTTAAATAATTTAGGTATATTCTATGCCGTAACGGCTGTAACCCGTAATCTAATATTGTTTAATCTACTTAACACTCAATATATCAAAGACGCTTGCAATATTGTAGCCAAAAAATTAGAATAATTTTCATATTTTACATTTTTTACAAATTTACAATAAATAATTATTAATATTGTTACACATTTTTAATTAGTAATTTAAGTTTGTTTCGGATATTGAAAATGATTCAATTTTAACAAACGAATGCAACCATTTTGTAACCCTTTTTATCAAAGGTGATAGAATTTAAGAATACTGAAAATCACTCGGTGCTACATATTATGTTTGATTAAACATTTAATAATTTGTTTTATTTTCTTTAGTGTCTAAAATATAAATAATTAAGTTTTAAATAAAATAATATAGGTATTAACTTGGTATTATTAGGTATATACAATATTAATATCATATTAAATCATCATATTGATGAAAAAATTGTTTTGTAATAACTTAGCAATAGCATACAAAAAAATTGGCCAGCTGAAAATTTTTTTAGCCTGCTTTGTTGTTAGCATACCTTTCAAAAAGTCGAAATGACGCCCTTGCTTTTACATACATATTGCATGCACGACATTTTAATTATTATGATAAATAGCGGATCTAATGTCAAGTATGCAACTAATTATATTTATGAGTTATGATGTTGGTATTTCATAGGTACGTCGAACTGCACTAAAATAATTTGTACATTGCACTGTTACGAGTTATCATAACAGTGTACTAACACTATATTATATTACAAACTTGCGTGTCAAAAGTGTTAACACTTTAATTCAGTTTGTTTTAATCATATACGATATAACGCTTACACATTTTACTCTTTTCATACAATTCTTTACGTTTACGTAAGTATTCTTTCATCGATATACATATTTGGTTTGCAAGCACATCAGCGAACAATTTGCAGATCTCTACGTATTTAATCCTCATCAATTAATTTTGAATAAATTATTTATTTTAATTAGCAGTTTCGTTTATCGGATCATAATATAATATTCGTATTACGATTACCTTAGTTGCACCAATTTCAAATGCAATTTGTGCCATTACTCCGGGTCCGTCGACCATTAGTCCGTCGTCTTTAGGCCCCCATGATCCACTGTATATATCCACCAATGAATTAGCATTAATTAATGCTCTAGCTTCCATTTCATCATCTGTTTTACCATCAAGCAATACAATACCTGTATAAATTCATCAGTTTACAGTTTAAATTGCATTTCCATCAAAGTTCCCTATTAAAAGAAATTATTTTAGTACATATTATATTTTTTGCAATTGCATCGATCTTTAAACTAAATGTGATCTAATCAAATATTTTTAACATTATTATTGATCATTGAGGATAAGATTAATTTGAATTTTTTACCATTTTACAACTGAATAAAGACATTTTTATAACGTAAGATATTCCTATGGTCAGAGGAAAATTCAAATCCTTTTACAATATTTATTTTCTATATATGAACCTACTTATTAGAAAATATAAATATTTAAAGACATAAATTTATGCCTGAAATTTTTAAGTTGGGTATTATTAGAATCCTGTCACATTGGTTCGTAAACTAAAATTTTAATACATTCACTTTCTGTATGAATTCGAAAATGTAACAGCCAACAAGGTCAATCAGTTTTTCAAATATTTTATTTCTTACTAGATTAATATATAATAAAGTAATTACTGTCAATGTCAATAAATGCCAAATATAACATTATTTTTTTTATAATTTTATGTCGATTTGATTTAATCGCATTGGGTTTGTGAACCTATTAATTATCATAGTAATGAAATTGATTGAACTAAAAAAATAATTATAATAATAGATGGATTAAAATAATAAATTCACGAACAATCAAATCGTGGTCTACGTTAATTCTATAAAATCCTACTGTAATTATAGGTACCTATAATACCACTTAATAATATTACATTATAGTCTATATTTAGTTAATTTAATAATAATTATAAGGATAAATAATTTACAATGATATGCTAAATAACTATAAGGATGATACGAAAAACTTTAGACTAATAATCAAATTATTACAAGCATAGGCACAATATGGTTTAAGCAAAATAAAAATAAATTATCTATTCAAAATACTGATATTTTAATATTTTAAGCTGAGAAATGTATTTTCAATTGTTTTTTAGTACAAATAAATCTTGACTTTACAAGTTTCGATTTTTTATGTGTATATTTTTTATGATAAATATAAATGAATTATTCATTTTACATACATATTTCTCAATATAATATATTGAGCATTTATTAAATTTAATTTTAAAAATGGATTTGTATTATCTAAGTCACCTACAATTTAAACGGCTCAACTATTTTATAAAACGTAATTAAAAGTAGTAAAAGTAATTATTTTTTACTATGGTTAATAAATAAATAAATAAATAATCATATGACAATGTTCTCTCGAAATTATAATAAGTTAATAATTCAAAAATAAAAATTTAAGCGGTACTAAATATACTTTATTATAGATTAATATTAAAGTTGTATTTGTTTTTTTTATGTTTTATGTATAATTTTAAATTCATAGTATTTTTTCAAGATACCTGAAATGAAAATCATATAAATATTTGTTTAATTAACATAAATTTAAATTAATAAATAAAAAATATGTACATAAATTGTCACCAATAGATGACTATTTTTGTCTAACTTATCGTGAACCCAAAATTTCAGGTTGTGTATTGTGTAAAAAATAATAAATTTAAAAAAATATATATATATAAATAGATGAAAATACATATTTAAAATATACTATCCAAATAGTATATACTCTTAAAGCGTATGCGTTTTTTTTTTATTTTATGACAATCCCTATAAAGTTTTACTCAATAAACTTTAAAATATATGTTTGATTTATTTTATGTGTAGACAGTAGATACGTAGAAAAACTTGACTACCTACTATTACAGTTCCCGAAAACAGCAGTATTGCGCGGATAACGTAAATTATCGTTAATATACACAGTGCATCAGTACACCAAGGTTTACCACCCCTTAGAATCAAGAATAGGAGACAAATTTTTTTACACAATATTAAGTCTGTTATACTAGTATTATTATCATTCTAGGTACTAAAACATTATTGAATTTATGTAATCCTTTAAAATTTAAAGTCTTTTAACCAAAATTAACATTTTTATATGATAATACAAATTGTATTTAATACCCTTGTTACATAGTCACATATCACAAATCAATAGTATCAAATGATTTCCATAGTTGTCTGATGTCTCCATAGAAAGTCTCCATAGTTGTAACTTTAAAGAGTACTATGTATAAAATCGTATTCTTAAAGATATCAAGTATCGTAATACTTGTGCATTATTTTAAGAAATATGAGATATATTACGCAGACACTCATTAGTACGAATATATAGAATATTAAGCTTTGAACGTGGAATTCATTCTATTCGTCGCACTCTACTAATGAAATCTGACCAGAAATTAAACTGCCCATTTGTATGCAAAATTAATATGGTGGTCCGTTGGAGTTACAATGCTCCTTGCTGAGCATAAGATTGTAATGGGTTAGGTATACATTGTATATAATGAGCTTAATTTTTTTGAAACATAACACATAACAAACAATAACAGTAGGCGTTTAATTTAATTGTATACTTATATATGTATATATATATACATATATAAATACATTGTTAAAATATTTTATCTCAACATTTAAAATCCAAACGAATATTATTGATCATAGTTGAAATTAAGGTTTTAGAGAAAAAAAAACAATTATAAAAGTTTGTTATAAAAAACATTCTTGATTAAATTAGTTTCTAAGTAATTTTTAAAATTACAATTGTACAATTTGTAAGAAAAAAACTCACTTTTAAAATAGTATTTTAATTATACAAGAGCAGTTGAAAAAAAATAAACGTACTAAACAATTCAATTTTATATAAATAAAGAATATAAAGTATCAATTTTACAATTCTATTTAATGATTTTAATGTAAAGGTTAGATATGAGGATATATGAAATTTAATATGAAATCTATAAAATATGTTGTTTAATAAATTTTGACTAAACTTAATACGTAAACCTAAAAGTAAAAATAACTGAACATTGTCAAAAGTTCGATGATTTTGATGATAAATACACAAACGCGATAAAGCCAAATTTTTCGTGTTCACAATTAACCATACGTACGTTAATGAAAATGTGTGAACATTGAATGTGTAATAGTACATTGTTATATGCTTCAAATCTTTTCTTTAGTATGTATTATAACCGAGTACATTATTCATACGTTAAACCTGTTTTTTACATTATATTTGTGTTAACGTATGTTTTTTGTTTTAAATTATAAGCATAACTTAGTTCTAATATTTGAATTCGAAAAAGCTATAATGAATGGTGCTAAATGAAGTTTTTCCGTTGGTAAAAAATTTAGTTTTTTGAAAACTTAATAAACTTAATAAACTATATATTATATTATCATAAAGCAATAATATTTGTATACTTGTAAAATGATTGATTCGACACACAACATCTTATGTGTACTTAATAAAAATTTAAATCTATCGAAAAAAACATGAAACTGAAAAATATATAAATAAACTTAATAAACCTTTAACAATGACTTATAAATAATAATGTATGATTGAATAATTAAACTAACCTCCTACTCTTGCGTTGTAAGCAACGCCTACACCACACTTTTTATTATTTGCAGCCATTGCAATTTCTCCAGCACATCTAGTACCATGCGTATTTGTAGGATCTTCGTATCGAGGCATAGGATCCTTTTTATTCCAGTTCAGATTGATACTGATCTCTTCATCCTGAAATGAACGTTTATAATTATAAATACTCATTTAATGGCTTAATAATAATTTAGTCATTAGGTAAATATTCAAATGTATGAGAATAGATCTTTTTAGATATTATACAATGCAGCTATGACGGTATTTTATTTTGTAGTTAATTTAAGTTCAATACGAAATATTAATGACTGATTCAAACATATTATACAGAAGTTATTTGAAAATGGATGTAATTATATTATTTATAGTTTTAATTTTTAGGTTTTGAACGTTAAGATTTGATAACTGTAACCACTAGCCGTAAGAAAATTTTTATGTTACAGTAGATTTTTGAAACATGTATTATCATATGTGAAACATACAAGCTTCATCGCTAAGAACCCGGTGGTCACCTATCCAAGAGCTAGTAACTGTGACTATAGCTAAACATTATGCCACACCATACTTCAATATATAGTTTTAAATATTTACATGAATTATAATATTCAATATACATATAATAATAGCAATACGTTAAGTATACCCATAACTCTCTAAGTAAAAATGTATATGCATAAAACAGTTCTACTACAATTATAAAATCACAAAATAAACGTGGTTTTCATATGTTTATTGTTGATTAACAAACTATTATTTATTTTATACTAATATGTATCGTGTTGGTATGTTACCGGAAATAGTTTTCCAGAAAACTCCTTTTTAATACACTTTTAAAGCTTTGAGTTTTTATGTAACGTATAAATACAATAGTTATTTATTATATTCAATTAAAAGTTAGTTGAAATAATTTAAGATACGGTTCTTATTTCACATTTATAAAAACATTAGGTAAATTTCTATCACAGAAAACCAAAAAGAATTGCAAACACATTACGACTGAAAATAGTTTTTACGATGTAACGACAACCTCCGTTTAATACTAAACAGGCAAAAATAATATTTCAAATGGTTTAAAATGATTTTTACACTAGTTTTAATCTATAATAGTTATTCAATATTTTATAGTAATATACCGAAATAATGATCGGATGACATATGCTATGATCGCTACGGAATTTGCATGTCGTTATAATTATAACATCTCTTACTCCTTAATTATACATATAAAATACTTCGCATGTATATTTTTCAAGTGTATTTATTTTAAAACATACATTTTTGTAAATAATTTAATATATTCCCAGGTACTACAGAAATAAACAATAAAACCCATACTGCTATACTGTATTCGTTATACTGTATAATATGAAGATAATATGTCCATAAATTAGTAAAAATGACATTTTTTTAACACTTTTTTTATGATAGTTGTTAATATTAAATGTATAATATACATTATATACTATTATCCTTCCCAGAAGTCATAAACTAGGATAAATTAAATTTAAATATTTATATGACAAATCGCGTTATTTTTTCAAAATATTGCACTGCAGTCTTTACACATTATTTGTCTAAAGTGTATTTATTTATTAATATTAATTTATACCACGTAAAATATGGATATGGCTGATATTGGTCTTGAAAAATCAAAATAAATTACACACCTATGGAAGTATTAAAAGTTTTGTATTTAATCAAAAACTATGAATAAAAAGAAACATGAATCTCAACTGCATTAATTTAATTAATGAAAATTATTCATAATAGTGTATTCATTAAATGGCTATGCATAATTTATTATTGAACAATATTTTTTCGAATGAAATAAAATTAAACGTCTCCTAATTACAAATGATGTACATATTATACATAGTATATATATATAATATAATGATATTTGATGAAACACATTTATACAAAAAAATAATAATAATAATAATTTCTAAAATAATTTACTATATAATATCCACATATTTATTAAAATGTATAATATTTACATACTTGGTAAATTAAAAATATTTTTCATGAGTATAATATTAATTTGTTAATATTCAAATATCTTGTAATAGAAATAAACTTTCATTAGCACAATTGCTAAATAAACAAAAACAAAGAATATGTACCAAGTAATTTTTAAAATTAATAACATTAAACATACTAACATAATTATCCTTTAGATCATCATGAGTATATTCTATCCCATCATCGATGATCGCTACTCGAATACCTTTACCTGTGAATTTTAACTCCTCATATACTGGTACTAAATTCATATCTAGTGGTACTTCATTACTATAATTAATTCGGTAGTCTTGCTGAAATATATGTAATAATAGTATCAAATAAGGCTAAAAATGTATTTTATTTATTAATTACAAACTTAAGTCCAATTCCAATTACAAAATAAAATGCAATATTAGATTTTAAAAACGTATAACTAAGTTACAACTTCATTACACATATTTTTATTCCCTTAATTAAATTGTACAAATAAAAATTTAGGTATTTAAAACCGTTTACCAAATATATGAACCTAAGAATTGTATGCATCTATAATGATTTCATTGTATTTAGTAGGTTATATTACAATTAATCTAAACTCTCCAAATAGTTTGAGTTTTATAAGCTAACAATGGGTGTTCAAAAAAAAATAATGTACTCTCTTACAAGCCCAGAATAAGAATCAATTGGGACCCTTTCAACTTTAACTTAAAAAAATTGTATTACTACATTTTAAAAATTGTATATTATTATTGCATAATTTTATCAACACAAAATATGTATATATATATATAAGTCTATATAAATTAATATTTATGTAATAATTTATTACACACATATTATATAAATGAACACAATATTTGTTAAAAATGATAATAATTTAATTTTTTTTCCTTGGTTTGCTTTTGCAAATTATTGAATAATTTCATTGAAATCAATCAGTTGATTGCAAAATATCATTTTTTGGATGCAATATCATTAATGATATTACATTTTTCATAGTTTAGCTTGTTCTATATTTATTTTTATTATTGTTAGTTTAGAAAATGCTTTTTCGACCAAATAATTATTTTTATTATACATGGGCATTTCATGTGAATAGATCAAAAAAACCTAATATCAATTATTATCACTTTTACGCTATAAATTATTTAGATAACAATTTATTATTTATTATCATTTAATAATTTTTCGTAATATAAAATTAAAAACGTTTTTATTTTTTAATTACTAATTATCTATTGTACCCACTAAAATATTTTTTTTTAAATTTTTTAAATACATTAAAAATATATATTTACATTGGAGATAAAGATGAGCCCCAAAATAAGTGAGCACCAGAACCGTGCCCCCCTACGCCCCATTAAACCGGACTTGCTCTCTTATATAGACACTATGATTCCTAATCACACCAAGGAAAAGAATCATTAAAATAAAAACCAAAGAATAATAAGAGATTTATGATTTAATGAATTTCAATGTACAAAATTAAATGATTATACCTACCTCGTACCACTGTAGCTTCCAAAGTTCGTCGTTAAAATACCTCTCATATCTGCTATGAACGTCCGTCGGCACTCTTTTATACAAGTTTTTCGAAAATCCCTGTTTAGCCCAATTCACCTAAAAGTTATATCTATTTTACTAATCAACATATATTAAACGCAGAACTATATGAATCAAATTTTAACAATTTATTATCATTATGACACGAAGAGAAGTTGAGATGCAGGATTATAAATTGACCAGAGTAGAGTTCATGATATATTTATAGTTTATACATTACAGGGATTACTATTGTAAAAACAATAGAATGGTATAATGAAATGTATTAACTAAAAATAAAGTTTAAAAAAAAAACTACGCGTGGGATACAAGAGATTATTAATTTGTTATATGTTTTAAACAATATGCGTTTTGTTTATGTGTATGAACTATAGAATACATTGTATACACTATACATGTTATATAATATTACCTATTAAAATTAAATGTCTGGAAAATATTTTTATAATCATTCTGAATATAATGAAAAAATATTTTCATTAGTATAGTTATAATATAATAAGACTAAAAGTTGTTAATGGTTACTTTAAAAATATTAAATATTTTTTACATTTTTTAGTGGAATATATTTATCTAACAAACCATGGTAAATGTTTTAAATTCAAACTAAATATTTTAAATAAAAATATAGTAACAGAACGACAATTACTATTTAAAATACGAAAAATAAAGAAATTCAAAGGAAGAGCGTGATATGAATGTGAATTCTAAAATTAAGTAATAATAGTTTTAAGGTTTGTTTTCTTTCACATAATAGAATTGGTACGAAAAATTACTTCATCATGAATAACTATATACATAATATAAATGTATATATTTAAATTATAGTAAAAATATTTTGAAACAGATATAATTTTACTTTAAATATGATACCTACTGTATTTTGTTATTTTAATATGTACAATTTTAAAATCCTATAACAACTATTGTTATTAAAAACTAAGTGTCAATCACTGAGTTAGTTTTATTGATTCTGATAAGTACAAAATAGTAATAATAACTAAATAATACAAATTTTATTTTTGAAATGGCTATTCCTTCAAATCAATCAATTTTATTAATATTATATTTATAAAATAAATTTAAATAATTTAATTAATTTTGAAAATTTAAAATATATTGTTATCAAGACACTCAAATTAACTTGAAACCTAACTAAGAAAAATAAAAAACTTTGAACCTTTTTGTACACACAAAAAAAAAAAATTTTTATCGCAATCAATATTATATTCAATGTTCATAAAACTCGTACGACATAATAGAAAAAATAAACTTAAGACTTACGTTTGCTTGTATGAATATTTTAGTACTAGAGAAAAAAAAATGAGCAATTTTTGAATGGTTTATTTTTTAATCATAAAAACAGCTAAATATTTCCAAATTGTTATTGTTATTATCATTTGTGTATATATATTACCTTATTATTTTGTTTTAAAATGTTAGTTGTGTTATGGAATGGTTCATGGTTGATTTCAGGATGATCTTCTTTTCTTACTTTGTAAACATTTGGTATACCATCTACCTAATACAATTTATTTTTTATTTAACAATTTTAAATGATTACATTAGAGCTAAAAAAAAAATAAAAAAAATTGTTAATCTTGCTGTACAAAATAAATAAATAAATTATGAATAGCTGCATGATAATAAAAATGTTATATACCAATCACTAAAACAATGTGCAAATTTAAAATAATTGTTTATGAATATTAAAAATTGTTGTCAATATCTTACATACAGTAATTGGTTATAAATAGAAATATACTCCTATTACTCCTAATACTGACACTGTCAGGTTTTTAGAAATAATCACCTAAGCTCGAATTATTTGAATCAAAAAAAAATTAAATTAATAAAAATTTCACAATAATTATTTGTTTGATCCGTTACCACAAAAGTTCTTTTTTTTTAATTGAATTGATTACTTAAAAATATGAAAATGAGATACGGCTATGACTTTAAAACTTTTACTTTTGAATTGCAATATTTCCTTTATTCAAATATTATGTAAATATATTTCAAACAGTTTTCAAGTGTTACAAAACATAACAAAAGATTATCGTCGCCTATCTACTATCATGTTAAGTACCTACACATTTTTAATTTAAATTAAATTTCTTTTATAATTGTTATGATAATCAAGTAAACATTAAACATTAATTTTCATGAATAATTTATCATTGAATTTAATTTTATTAGCTTTATAAATATATGATATGATTTAAATTGTCACAATATTAATAATAACGTAGATATACAAATATATTATCTTGTCTATTTATACTGCAAAATGTATTTCATACATTATATTAAATGTCATAAAATTATTCAACGAACGTTATATTTTAAATAAAATTGCATATTATTTTTATTTTATGTTAAATTAAATAACTACCCAATACTTAACTTTACTTAAATACACTAATAAATAACTGTGCGTGGTCTATGCGTGCGTAACACAAGTGTTATAATTTCGATTTTAGAATTTATGTAGTCTGTAAAGTGTTATATAGTGTTCATAGTTGAAATATTTTATCATGATTTAATTATTTAATCTTACTGGTTGTGCAAACGAAAATCCCTGTTGTATTATAGTTTCATTTATTTTATTCAAATCATCAGTGAAATGGAAATACCACACATTTGAATAGTGATTCACATTATTTTCGCCATGATTCTATAAGATGAAAAAAAAATAGTTGATTGCCGTGGCCATTTTATTAAAAAAAAACTATATGTTAGAAACTATCTATTAAATATACTAGGAAATAAATTAATTGTACGGTTAAGTGGATAATCTATACATTATGTTCCAATACAAATACCTGGAAATTAGACTTTCTTAATTTAATTTTCATTAGATGAACGCATATTTTGATAACATTAAAATGTTTATATTTAATGTAATTAAAAATTAATAATTATTTCCGATATGCTTTTAGATAGGAAAGTTAAGCATAAAACCTTAGATTAACCTAACCCTGGATTTAAGTATCAATAAAATTTGTAATATATTATTTTTTTATTAAAACACTTTATATTACAGAATATTTTCTTAAACTCAAATATGAGTAAATACTATTTACAAACAATATTGAAATTTTATTTTATTTTCTTAGGTTTAAAAATGAATTAAAATAAATGTTTGCATGTTTAGAAAAAAATAATTTGTACTTAGGAAATCGAGTTTTAGATTTTAAAAAACAATAATCATTGTACCTCTTGTATGTATAGTCCAATTTTATACCAAAGTAAATATTTTTTTTTAATAATTTTATATTTACTAAATTTTAAACATTGTAATGGAATGCTACGATTAATTTAGTAAGATTTTTTAAATTAGTAAAATTAATGTTTATTATTTTACAATATACATGATTGAACCTACGTATCTCAAAATAAATGTACCAAAATACATTTTTATTTTACAAATACAAGTAAAATACTTGTAGTAAAAAAAATTAAAAATTGTTAAAAAATATATAGTTTAATAGAAAATTCACCTAAAAACATGAAAATAATTAATAAACCAAAAATATTCTGTCATGTGTTTTGTAAAATAATTAAATTGTGTAATTTTGTATGCAAATATAAAATATATACCTATTTTCTAATCAATAATAAGTATTAAATATTATAAATATTATTGTTTTTCAATGAAATTATAATTGATTTCGACAATATTTCTTCATTTGCATTTGATGGTTTTAATAATTTCTATCAAAGTGGATTTACTTTTTAATTTTTATAATATTGGATTACATACTGCACTTACACATACATCGATACGTATAATAAAATGTACATGTTATAATACATTATGTGTAAGTACATTTTTATTTATTTATAATATATTAACTATTTATATATGTAATAATATTTAAGGTTTTCAATGCAGTAAGTAATGGTCTAATCCACTAATTTACAATATTTGAATTGACGACATTAATAATAATAGGAACCATTCAACCATACCCTACCATACCCACATTAAATTCATGAACGCTCTAAGCCACCTTTAGGTACTTAATAAATATATTTATATATGCAAACATCTACTCAAAATTGGAAAGTTATAGGGAAGCTTTTTTTTCCTAATTGTACTTTTACTGTAAAATAATGATGTTTTATTATATCGACAATACAAATATTTTCAAAAGATACATTATTATTAATAAAGTATTTTTAATGTAAAATTTTCTAAAATAATAAAATTATTGACATATTATTTTACAACACGCAACATAACGAAATAACGCATTGTATTTATTGTAAACAATTGCTTTTAGGTTATTGTTATAATAATGGTAATTGACCTATAAGCTATAACTAAAACTGTCTCATTTATTTTAACATCAATTTTAAAAAATTGAATTTTTTGTTATTTTTGAGCATTAAAACAAAATATATTGCTTTATTTAATTTTATATTTTTGTTTTTATAAGTTGAATACATTTTAAATATATAACATAAAAAAGAGTTTTGTATATGAACTATATATTCCTATTATTAACCTAAAAGCAAAAACTGTCTTAAACCATCAATTTAACTATAATGCATACACAATTATGTACGTACTTATAATTTATAGTTAACTATGAATAAAAATTACAACAATAAACAAACCGTCCCGAGTATCCTATTTAAAGGATTGATGTCACTCTATTTTACATTATGATATATAACTATTAGATTTATATAGTAACAAATACCTATATAGAAAATTCATAATATGTAGTACTCATCTACGTAATTATAGATGAACTGCAACAACAATTATCTATTAATATTTTACAATGTTTAGCCTCGTCGTTTCACAGTATGAATAAATTATTTATTTTTTGTCAGAAATAATATATTACTGTTTGCAACTACTAATTTAATACACTGCCAAACATCAATCACAACGTTTGCCCCGTTCGAAATTTTTATTTCTAATATCTGATTTTTGCGTATTTTTACCATAATTTATACATGATACTTTTAGATATAACATTAAAGCAAGTCATTTAACTTTGTGATATATTTGTTTATCTTAATATCACGTATTTAATTTTCTGTGAACATTTAATTAACAACAGTTTTATAAAATTAATTCGTAATATATTTTTGAGTTAACTTTGACCTCCCCAATATGTTGTCTAAAAGAAATAAAACTACTAACGACCTTTACCAAATTATATAACACATAAACTTACATGGTGCATTATTAATTCATGAGGATCGATCAAATAATTACCAACAATGAAATAAAAATATTCGCATACATACAGTAATCCAATAATCTTCTTATTCAAGCTCATTTCTGAAAAAAATTAAATTGCTTACAAAACATAATTAGGTGTTTCGTTTATTACATGCTAAACAATAATAATTTAACATTTTAAATAATATTAACTATTTTCAATAATAATAATACAATACAACAAAAATTAATTTACTTAGTTATAACTTATAACCAACTTATCTATAAATAAATAAAGACAGATTATTAAGATGCAAATTCCAAGTACAGTTTTAGTGCCTAAAGATTATACTTCAACTAGTTAATTTTAATAACTAATAATAAGCATATTTTAGACAATCCGAACAAAAATATATCGTAATAAATTAAAAATGCACGAAAACATTAAACGCAAAAAATGTTATCATCACAGAGTTTGATAATAAAATTTCAAGGTTATTTTAAATTTCTAATCAAATCTTTAAGTAAATCAGTATCAAAAAATTGTTTAACATACATTTCAATATTTAATTTTTAGTTATGCAAGTATAATTACGGTATGGAGTTCATTTATATTTTAACAAATAAAGAATTAATTTTTTTTTTCTCGTGAATAATTTTAAAAAAGTTTTATAAAATATTTTATTGCATACTTTGACAATACAATTTCGAACAAATAGAGTGCAGTAAATTAGTCATTAGAGATGTAACAAAACTAATTTTTTTTTTTATGTTTTAAATACCTATTTTATTTAATAAATCATTTTTTGGCTGTGATTAACTACTAGATATATTTATGACTCAAAGTCTAGGTTAATATATTTTTATTAAATTTAAAACATTTACAATCTATACAGTTTTTTGTATAATGAACAAATTCGCAGAGCATATAATAAAAACAAAATATAACACACAAGAATGAGTGATAAGGAAGCAATCCAGTGATGGAACCCTCTGAAAAGGTTTTCATCCTATAAATTTATAGTATTTACATAATTTAAAGTTATATTAAATTATTTAACAGAGGTTATTGATCATTTTCATTATTTTTTTGAGTGATATTCAGTGATTCTTTCTAAGGTACATGAATTTCTTGTTAAGTTTTTAGAAGTTGACAATTATGTTTTAATCTGATTTATTATCGATATTCCACAATTATTAATTTATCTGAGACGAGTGTAATGCTGAAAGTTGCCTATGAGATTGTCGTGTGTAATGCAAATGTGGTTGTTTATAATCCAGTTTTTTATTAATATTACGACTTATTTGGGTCATCACAAGCTGAGCTAATAACTGTAAATTCATTATTTTATAAAGCAAACCACTATTTATGCTATTCATTAACGCAATTGAAGTTATTGTTATTTTATTATTGTATAAATCGTAATCTAATATAAAAGGTCATAATTCTAAATCAGGGTTAACTGTATCTTCATTAGCTTTTGGTCAGCTTTTTCAATTTTATATTATGTTAACATGTCCATTGTTCAAGAAACCAAGCTTAAAATTAACAACTAATATTCTATTTTTTTGATATATTTGTTAAACTTTTAAGCAATTAGAATAGTATAACGTAATAAATATGTTAGTACTAGTTAAGATTTTTATGAATATTGAAACTAAAATAATTGTAATATAGTCAGTAGTCACTGTTAATAAATGTGGTGTTTTAGTTGGATTTTAGATTTGGTAATTGTTTTTTGGTAAATAATATATGTATACATTATTACTCAATTTATAAACATTATAATAAAGTAGCATAATCAGTATATCGGAGTTTGGTTTTTACAGTTTTCAAAGCTAAATTTATATTTTTTTTAGTCACCATAATATCTAACACATCATTTACATCGTAATTGATGGCAACAATAATTCCGAGAAAATCCAGATAACATATATCTCATTAGTATTTATATATTCCTGATATTTGTACCAACAAATCGAAAATTGCTTACAAAATTTAAAATAAAAACTTTTTTTTTACATGTTTATAACCTCGTAGGGTTTTATGTTTATTCAAAACTATAAGGTTTGAAACAAAACAAAATAAAACAACTTTATAAAAAATGTAAGGTTAATTGCTAAGAAAACATTGTAATCTATTGATTGTTATTGCTACGCAATTATTCTTAAAAATGTGACGGTATTTCAATTATATTCTAAAAATTACTTTCCAAAAGTATTTTTTTTTTTTTTTTTAATAACACTTCTTTGTCAAGTTGTTGATCATGGACATGCCTTGTAAAATAAATAGGCAAATGCATTTGACCACCGCTGTTGTGTAAAACCGCAAAATATACTATTTATTTTTATTAAATGTTAACATCGTATAGTAAAATTACATAACTTATAAATTTAAATTCATAATATTGAATAATTTTGATTAAAATTTGCATATATTTTACCATGGATTATTCAATCACTATAATTTGTGTTTTAATTAGTGTATTTACATCTCTTGTGTACATATCTTATTCATTTTTTATTTTTACTGATTTTATAATAACTATTATGAAGTAATATATTAGGTACTTAATATTAATGTAGTATAATAATAATTAACTGCCATATAAAAAAATTAAATATATCTACTATTGTCATTATTATACCCATATCATAAATAAATAAATACGTTTGATTATATAAGCTCAAATACTTTTAAACACTTACTTTTAGGTTTAAAAAGTAGTCAAATAATACTTAACGTGTCAAAAAAATTAACTAATTAATTATTATTATTTTTTTTTAATGTAATATTTACTATCCAACGTAATTTTATTACTCTTGAAAAATAACTTCTCCCGACAATACACTAAAAATCAAGAAGATTTTACCTCCGTAAAGTGTACATCGTAATATGTTGTCATTAAAATTTAATGATATAATTTTAACATATTATTAAACAATAATACGCAATTTTGAAAAACTCATTAAATACGTTTTTAAATAAAAGAATAATCTAATATAGTAAAAAATATTATATTCATCCAACAATAAAAGGTATGCAAAAGTATTTTAATCTACCAAAATATTTAACTTTTTGTTTAATTATTTTACATGTTAGTTTTCACTGAATTCATTATTTACATTTTAAATAATCAATACTAATGTATAATTATCGAATACCTACTGTGTTTGCACTGGAAACATTTGTCATACGGTATTGCATACACAATGACACACAAACATTTCCTATCTTTTCCCAACGTCACTCTTTTAAGTACATAATATTAACAATGAGTTCTCACATGAACTATATTTCAATTGAGTTTAAGAAATATATTCTTTCAAGTAGATAAAGTTTCTGAATGAGATAAACCTGCGTTATTCATAAACGTTATTTAATTATTAAAAACACCCCCCACTTTCAAATGTTTATTTTTATTACTTTATCTATAATTTACTAAAGTAAATTATTTTTTCTCACAAAAGTATTTCTCGTATTATTAACATAATATGTACATTAAAAATATTTCCAAGTTCAGTAATAATTGTAATTACTAAGTTTAAATCATAACAGTTTTTGAAATTTGATAAAAAAAAAAAACATACATATAACGTACCTAAGTAAATTATTTACACTACCTATACAAATAATGGTTTATTTATTTTAATAAAATTTAGTACAAAATATTTTGTATTTTTGACTAGTAAACCAAAGTAAAATATACATCATTAATAATAGTAATTAGTAATATGCCCTAAGTTTCAATTAAAAAAAGTATATTGTACACAATTTTGTATAAACACAAAAACTTCAGAAACTATCTCCGCTGAGTAACATAATTATACCTTAATTTTTAATCTTTTAATAGTAAAATAGCAATAAGCAATATTCTTTTTTGAAAAATATTTTGATAATTATTATAACTAAACAAAAAAGAATGTTTACGTAAAAAAAAACTTAGGCATATTTATAATTCTACTAAGTTTAATTGATTTTATCGTTTGTATTGTTTATTTATTGTTTGAGAAACAAATTTCTTTTAAAAACTTCGAAAAATGTTTACTATAACGTCTATAATCTTATAGTCTTAAAGATAAAAAATAGCAGAAAACATACAAAAGTTCTAAATCATCCGCTTTTTACACCACAAAATCATTGAAACGTGCACAGACATTTATTTGCAAAGCTTTTACACATCGTTAGTTAAATCCACGCATTTACTAATGTGTATAATATATATATATGTATTAAATGGACTAAAGTTATATATATTTATAATATTTATATACATAGGATATTTTTACAGTCTAATACTCTAATGTGATTGAAACAAAATATTCTACATTCTCAAATCAGTGGTATCGATTTTTAAATACACAAAGAAAATCAAAATTGTTTGTCGAATTCTATCTCACTGTTTTTATAATACACAATGTACGCTGTTCAAGTATGTATGTTTGTTTATTCGCCTTTTTTTCTAATATAAATAATTTACGTTAGTCTTTCACATGTTTTTCTAGTTTTTTTTTCAGTATTACAATTTATCGAAATCGAATCGTCCATTAAGTATATTTTTGAAAGACATTTAATATGTTTATCACTTTGTTGCATGATTCCCACTTTAATGGAGTGTGTACTTTGTATTTATATTGATAAGTTCAAATAATTCAATATATTTTTTGAATAGAGATTTTATTCAACTAACACAATATTACCCAGAATAAAACTATAAGTTTTTTTTTATACTTAAAATTATATTTTAATCATAATAAAATGTCAATTGACATTTTTTTTCGCTGTTGTTAAAAATGTTGATGTAAAATAAACGCTCTACTCACCAAACATGAATATTATCATCATTATGGATAAAAATCATTTGAGTCTTTTTTTTCAATGACAAACATATTTTAGATTCTGAGCGTATGATTGAATATAAGTATTGAGTTAACAATAATGTATGTTGTCGTGTTACTTTTATGAGTAATGAGTATTGAAAATGCTAACGTATTAGATCTAGCTTATACCTAGTTAATTTAAGATAAAAATTTAAAATATTTTGGCTCATTTTTAATTTTTTATAGAAATTTAGAGTTTATAATTTTAATTGTTTGAAAATGTTATACAACTAAGACAA